AATCAAGACTCATTCTAGCATGGAACTGGGTAATGACCTCGCACCCCAAAATAGAGGCTACTGAGAGTTATTGGACCCTGGGGGAGGGAGAATCAGTTTTCTTTAAGCATTTGGCTCCTGATGGTTGACCATGCTCTAGTATATGGCCCCATAACCCGAATTATATGATCAGAACAAATAGGAGCAAATTGGTTATTAAATTGAAAACAATGAGTGCTCAGGCTACCCTGCTGGCTAGTAGTCCTGGACTTCCCTGCTTTGGGACCACCTGAAGGCCCTCCCAATGATCCAGAACTTAGGATTTCCTGCCAACTAGTAGGGATCCATACAGCCTTTTCTGATCTCCTCTGCTTGGACCTTGAAACTGTTCCTCTGAGGCATGAAGTGTGTTTAGTATGTCAGGGCTGTGAGAGCTCCTGAGTGTCCTGACTAGATCCATCTGGTACGTCCAATACAAAATCAGAAGAGGGAACATGAAACCTAGGCCAAATAACTTTTCATACTCAATCAGAAAGAAAAAAAGATATATCAATAATGCATAGAGAATAAAACTTCAACTCAACAAATGTGTTCTTGACATCCATACCAGAATCACAAGCAACAAAAGAAATTCACATGCCAAAACCACAATGATAAGATAATAATATTAAAAACCAACTTACAGTACCCAGATGGTGGCTAGCATCCACTTATAACTCCAGTTCTAGGGATTCCAACACCCTGTTCTGACCCTTGCTGGCATTGCTGACATAGGTGCACTTACATTTATTCAGACAATACACTCATACACATATAAACTTACAGTTATACCAGTCTTTGGCATATACCCAAAGGAGTTATCCTCCTGAAGGGATGCTTAAATAACATTTTTTGTTGATGCTCTCTTCATAATAGCTAAGAAATGGAAACAACCTAAGTTTCCCTCAGCTGACAAATGGTACATTTCCACAATGTAGTTTTACTCAGCAAGAAGAAAGAAAAAAACATAATTTTGCAGGTCAATGGATGGAAGTAGAAATTTCTATACTAAGTGAAGAAACACAGACTCAAAAAATCAAACAACATATTTTCTCTGGCATTTATGAATCTTAGCACAAAATCCTTATATGTGAATATAGATCATGATGTCACCACAGGAGCCAGGAAAATGGAAGGGAAATGTTTATACAGGGAAAGAAGGAACCTAAGAGAGAGGGATAGTAGAGACAGGTGTTACCAGGAGTAAAATGACTAAAATGGGGGCATTTACCTTGGAGGAGTAGAGAAAAGATTATACACAGAATGATCGGAGCAAGGGGAAGAAGGAGAATATGAGAGGAGAGATCACAGGAGAAAGTATTATCAAGGGGGAAATTTGCAGGAGGTATGACTTTAGCAAGGAACACTTGTCAGTTTATCACTGCTGGGTGAGGGAAAGTTTAGTTTTAATAGTGTGAGACTAGACATGCTTAATAGGCTCCAGTGGATGAACTCACACCTCTGGACATTTGAATACACAAGCTTGTGTACTTCAACATGTACTTAAAAAATGTGTTATGTCTGGTGGGAGGGGTATGGGAGGTGTAGACAAGGAAGTGGGACTGAATATGGCTAAGATGTGTTGTATGATTCCACAAAAATTCAATAAAAACATATTTAAAAAATTAAAAATCAAAAAAAGTGGACTAGAAATTTAGGGTATACACAAGCTTGTGTACTTCAACATGTACTTAAAAAATGTGTTATGTCTGGTGGGAGGGGTATGGGAGGTGTAGACAAGGAAGTGGGACTGAATATGGCTAAGATGTGTTGTATGATTCCACAAAAATTCAATAAAAACATATTTAAA